AAAATTAGTTAAACTAGTTATTTGTAATAAATAGATATTATTTTTTTTAAAATATCATTGCTGATCAAGTATACTGACTAGAACTACCTTTATTACAAAGACTACCCTAAAAAAATGAATAAATATGAAAGACAAAGTGAATTGAGATATTATATTTAATCAAAATAAAAATCAAGCAAGTTTTTATATTAAAGATCGAAGATAGTATATGATATCCAGTTTATTTATTTATTTATTTCTATTGGTTCTAATTTTTAATTTACTTTATCTCTTTCTCGCAACATATGCTGTTTTTTTCTACTTTCTATGTTAGCTTAGTAGTATATTGGAAGATTTTAAATTTTTCTCTTCACAAATAATATTCTATTTATAAGATTTTTTATAATTTATGAATAAAATTTTATAATTAGCCCTGAATATTTAGTATATGACTCACGCTACAGACGGTTGCAAGACGGGCAGAACGCGTACGATTTGAATTTCGGGGTTCATTTCTGTTCACCATCCTTTCTCCCTCGGGATCACCATTGAGACAAGAAAGCGTGTACTTTTCTTCGCATGGTATTCTAACAAATTTCTCCCTTCTACTCCCCCCCCTTACAAAAATTCATTTTCATTATTTAATTTTATATAATTTAATTTCTTAATTTTAATCCTAATACAATTAATTAATTTATTGATACTAAAATCTTACATATTGACTCTCAGTGTTAATATTTGGTATTTCATTGACTATCCTGTAGGATGCAGAAAGATTAATTAGTAGCCATTTGATGAACAGAGAATCCAATTATATTCTCTCTGCTTTAATCTGGTTTATCTCGACGGTCCCTTTAAATAAAGAAGAAAAAATATAGCTCTTTTAAGAATTACATGCCGACTTATATTACATGTCAATTTCAGACGCCCTTTTTTTATATATTTTATGCTGCCAACTCATCTGTTATTGACATAATCTTAACTTGAATCATTAACTTGTACTTTAATTAATTAATTTAATAAATTAAATTTTAAACACGATAATTCAAACCTTGTAAAAGGGACATAAATCGTTCAATTGAAACAGATATCAGATGGAACACTGCCAGCTTTCCCCACCTAGTAAGTCACTCAATCTCCATTCAGGACCTCACGCTAGGCCATTATAATACTACCTTTAGTCCCGTTCTTAACATAAGAATTACTCAATTAATTTAAATAAATTAAAAAAATTTTAAATTAATTATTCATAAGAAAAATATATATATCGATTTTTTTAACTATCATTTCTAATCATGTACATTATTGGAGCTACCTTGATAAAAATCTCTTTACTAATTATAATTAATAGGGATATTTAGAAAAAATATATAAATTTGAAAAAAGTATATTAAGATATTATATTTATAACTAAAATAAATCATTTGTCTAACTTGTTTCTTTCTTTCTTTTTTCCAAAATATTTGTCTAACTCTTATATCTAGTACAGAATATACAATGCGTCTATCTATATTTGCGACCATAAAAGGGATGTGATGCTAACCTCTCAATCCTTATCTTCCAGAATATATTGATGCTTCTGTCCCGTGCGGTGCTTCCACTTCATAAAGCCATATTTGTAGTGCATGCCAGCTTCATCCAATCATCCCCCTTCATTTCATGTGTGCTTTGGCAATTAGCTGTATGTATAACATGTTGCAGATAAATGCCATTTATTCAAAATTAATCAATATTATAAATAATAAATTTGGTTGTGCTGGAACAAAAGGCTACTTGTATTACTCAGTCAAGCTTTACAGTCCAAGCGTTGTGAAGCAAGAAATTCATATTTTAGCAGATAAATTATATGGTGTTGTATAGGAGAACTCTCACTAAAATATAAATTACTCATCCCATCTTAAATATAAAACTTAATTATTGAGTTGATTTTAATCCTAAATATAAGACCTATTTATCATATTTATTATTTTTTCCTAAATTACCCTCATTGTACTCTCTCAGTTATAATCAAATAAGTGAGGGGAGAAGGATATTAAGAGAGATGATCACAGTGTTTTAAAAAAAATATTTTATATTTCTTATAATTAACTAACTTATCAAACCTTCTTAATCTTTTTTTTTTACCAGACCAAACTTTCTTAATCTAATCAAATTAATTAAATAGGTCTTATATTAAGGATTATAAAGGTATTAAATTTATATATCTGTGCGAATATATAAAATTACGTACATAAAAATCTACCAAGTACTTCATGTTATTTACAAAAACTGTCACTTTAAAAATTTCAATGAAACATTATTTTCTTTACTGTTACATTATTTACGGACGAAGGTATTAGATTTGGTAGGTAGACTATTCAATGCATCTATTGTGTATTTGGGAGAGTATTTAATTAAGTCGACGCTATTTTGTAAGATATTATTAAACTTCACAAATGGTTCTTTTGTCTTTGAGAACAAATGGAAAATGAGGGAGTACTTACTTTAGGTATGTATTTATTCATTATTAAATTATATTATTATTATTAATAAGTTCATTTATCATATTGAGGAATTTGCCATAATTTTTTGGGTGGCGGTGGTTGCTTTTTAAATTGGGACTAGTCAGTGGAATTCATGACACTGTGACGGATGTCACAAGAAATGGGTCTTTTCACCGATAAATAGTACACACCGCCAAGTTAATCTAATCTATCTGTTTTTTTAAAAAAAATGTTAGATATAATTTTCATATACTATAATTATGCTTTTCTCACCCCTTCATGTGTTTATATGGCGGGGAACTTCGATTTATGCTTCTAATCATTTTTTGTTGGTTAAGTTATGCTTTTATTAATTATAGTTCTTGTCAAGATCACAAACTCAGAGCTTCTTTTTTTTTTTTTTGTTGAATCAGAGAAATATTTAATTTTGTTTGACGAAAAAGAAATACTTAAATTTGTTTGTGTGTAATAAATAAAATAAGTGCTTGTTGGTTTCTAAATGAACTGTTAAGGATAGTGCGCAACGAGAAAAGTGGAGTTCATAACAGTGAATCATGTCACATGGCATAGTGGTGGCCACCATCCATATATGCCCACCATAGTCCATAGATACGTGGTAGTAGATTGTTTCTTTAGATTTTATTCTCTGTTTTTTAATTAAAATATACAGGCTATTCATATATAGGCCCTTGTTATTCTTTTATCCTTTCACCATTTTTACAAATAGAAGTTAAACAATAATTAATTTGAAAATAATAATTATTATGTTTGATTATTTGTAATATTGTATTATAACTATCCCTTGTGAAAACTACTTAATATGAAAGACCAACAATAGGGATGATTTAAAAAGTTTATGATAAATTTGAAATCGAAGATAAAATAGTAAATTGATATCTTATATTTAAAATTGGATATAGAGTATCACAGCGTAAAAGATATTTCGTACAGATAATTTTTTTAAATTTTTATTCTGTCCTCTATTATGTGAACAAAAAAAGCTGATGACGTATTTTTTATCAAGAGATGCGATCACCATGTACCTCAACACTCCCTAAGATGAGTAAGGGCCAAAATATTGAAAGTTGACAGTTTTGTTTTCTTCCACTATAGTGGCTAGCTGTGTATGGTTTGTTGTCTACTAACAGTATGACTTCATGTGCGTATTGTATTTTTATATTCATTTGGATATTGGGCGATTCATGTCACTTTCTATATGTGAAGTAGTAGTGATCTGGAGGAGGCCAGGCCAATTGGGCACGGTTGCTTCAAATATATAATTTTCCTTCCATTTTATCAGACAATATTTGACAAGATGTCTATCTGTAATAGTGATTATATTTATGATTTGTTCTGTTCATTCATAATGACTAGCAGTAAATATTAAACATCTCATATTTCATCTTTTTCTTTCTTGCGGGCGTACAACATCTCATATCTCCAACGTGTGTGGGCGCGCTGATTGAGGCGAAAATGATCCTCGAATGAAAAGGTAGGTAACAAACCTAACACAATCATTTTATTGAGAAAAAGACTACAGAAACTCAAATGGGCCCAAAGGTTTTTTTTTTAAAAAACAAAACCTTTTTTCGGTTAGTTAATTCATCACAAAGACTATTCAAAGTTTTGGATTCATAGAAATATAACCAGCTTGATTCAATGTCTCTATAATTACCAACAAGAATGAGAGTTCATCCAACTGCTAAAAAGTCAACTTATAACCTATAATGTTATGAGTTCAAATTCTCCTGCCAATATAAAGTACTTGTTGAGCGATCTATAAGTATCTCTGCAAACATTCTTTGAGCTTGAAGGCGTGCCTTAGTTTTGGTGAACTCCCGAAACCCAACTTACACAAATTTTCTTGTAACAAAAAAATGTCTCTATAATTTTGTTATCGAGAAAAGATGATTAGAGATAACATGTCATTAGTCTAATAACGATATTTGATGATAATAGAGATTTTGATCAATATTGGTTATAGTTCTATGGATGAAAACTGTTTTCCCAGTCAGGAATCATCATTCAGACCCACAAACTAGATTTGATCTATTTAACTAAATGGAATGTAAAAAAACCAAAATTGCTGTATATAAATGAATTAGACAGCTGTGCAAGATACAACTTGGTGATGATCCAATGGGGCAATGATATTGTTGGATTGACCGTCCTATCTCCTTCGTAGGCCTCCTACAACTTTTTGGGCTGCTTTCCCCGCATTTAGCCCAGCCCATCCAAAACCAGAGAAAAAAAAGATTACACACGCTAAAAAGAGAGATTAATAAAAATAAAAATTGATGACCCCTGTTTTAGGTGGGACGCCGAAGGAGGACCGAGGGGTTGGCGGCTGACTGGGGGGCGGGGGCTTTTGGATGCAGCGCGGGTAGCCGGCGACTGAGAGTTACTGGAGAAGACGGAATCGTAGCCCGCGGAAACAGCGGTTTTGGTGGTGAGGGGGCCCAAACAATTTTGGCTAGGGCCTTCATTTGGGTGAGAACGACGAGGTGAACTCAAGGGTGCGGGAGTTCGGTGCCACAACGAGGCCGTGAGCTGAGACCTGATGAAGAAGAGCGAATCGACGCCGGTGGTGACAGCGGTGAGGGAGGCAATAGAAAACTGGTAGTTTTGAGTGCGTTGGAGGGTGAAATTTTCGCCTTTAAGTTTTGGCTGCCATCCACTTAAATCTTTCTTTTCTTACCACCTTTCAATGGTGCGATTGGAGTTGTTCTCTTTGGCTATTACATCCGTGTGGAGCAAAGATTTTCGTTTGAGTTTGAGTTTGAGGGGACAATTTGCTGATGTTCGACTTGGCAAATCTTTTATGCTTCTTCTTTGCAAATAATTTTTCAGTCTCTGAAAATGTTGAGCATAATTAAGTTCTCTTTATCAATCTGTTTAAATATCTCAATGCTCAACTTCTTCTGGGTAAATTCGGTTCATGTGCCTCTTAATCAACCTGTTCTGCTTCTTCACTGGTGGCTGCGTAAATCTGTCTCCTCCTCCCTTCCTAGACCGAGCTTCCCCTACCTCTAGCAGGAAATATCTCTCCTCCGTTTGAAGGAAGCACTTCCTTCCCTCACTGCTGCACTGTCCTCTCCCTTTATGTACCCAAACGCGCGATCAGGGGGAGAGGAGACTGATTTCCACTCCCCCTGCAAAAATCTCGCCCAACCAAAGGGGTCCTTAGTGAAAAGTGATGACGAAATGCATAGTACATACAATTGGCTATTTATGTTAACTCCATCTAAGTGTGTCCATGACTACATTGAGCTAGTTGTTTTTAATTTTTTCAAGTGTGGTCTCGCTAAAGCTAGTTACAATGAATTGTTTGCATGTAGGGTGATGCAAAGTTGACGTCTTAGAGTATTGGAAGAAACCTTACTGCAAACGTCTTGTCATGGTATGTTCTATGTCTAATATCTTGCTCTACTTACATGCTTATTTTTGTTCCATTTAAACTTCTTAGCTTTAGGAATCTGGACCTGCTGTCAAGAGCTTTTTTTAGAAATTACTTTGGAAACAATCTTAAACTTCTGGAATCCTTGAGTTTTCCAACTGGTTGATAGAAACTTGAGGAACTGATGTGGTGCATTCTATCGTTTTCCATGTCATCATCTCATTATTGGGCACATCATTTGGTGGAATGACTGAGTGCAGGATCCCAATGGTTATGTGGATGATAAAAGTGAAAGCAGATTGTATATCGGGAACCTTGATCTTAGAATAACAGAGTAAGTACCTACTAATATCGCTGTGAGACATGATTTTTTGCCCCTGTTTTCATGCACATTCTTATTTCTCTCCCTTCATCCTTCCCAGAGCAGCTCTTATAAAGATGTTTTCTCCATATGGGAAGATTGTATCTGAGGATTTCTTATGGCACACTCGCGGCCCCAAGCGTGGGGAGCCCCGTGGCTTTGCTTTTATCCAGTATAGCTCAAGAGAGGTAATTGGACTGTGTATTTTAGTCGTTGTGCTTTTCAAGCAATCCCTGATTTTCCTTATTAAAGTGAGTATGCAGGAAGCAGAACTGGCCAAGGAGAAAATGCATGGGAAGTTAGCTTGTGGCCGGCCACTGGTTGTTCGGCTTGCGAGTGAGAAGTGCCTGTTAGAAACAGCCAATAACTCATCAAAAGTCACGGGAGAAGGGCACAAGATACACCTTACCGGTAATGGCATGGGACAGACAAGTCGCAGTGCAAAAATAGCTGCAATAAAGAACAAATTGAAATCAATAGAGGAGGAGAGCTCTAGGCCAAAGAAGCAGAAGCTAACTGATGATGTATCTTGAAGCAAATGTGTCAGTGAACTTTGTATAACCAGGGATTTGATTCAATGACTTGAAAAATATCAATGGGCTATGTGCCTGAATCTGCATATGGTCGACTCTTGTTAAGCCACCAATATATGCGACTCAGCTTTTTCTCTGTTTTCCGGTCATGACTTGGCTTTACTATTATCCAAAGGCTAGGGTATATCTTTACGTGATATGAAATTCTTTGATGAGAAATGGTATGATCGCATGTGAATTTCGGCAATAATAAAGGGGGCTGACTACTAGCTTACTGAAAAAAATTTTGTAGGCAAAAAATTCTGTCACATCGAACTGGCTCCAGATGCATGGTTGTTCCTCTGCTAATCCGCTGTCTGCATGAAGTCCTTGTGATACTGGACGGTCCCCTTGCTCCGTGCATAGTCTCATATTTTGCGCACCCGAGGATCTCCGGGGTCTTGTACAGCGATTTGTTATTCGATATCTGCTCCTTAATATAAGAATTAATTTGATTCAATTCGGTTTTAAAGACAAGATATCAATTTACTTTGTTTCTACGTTTATCCATTGTTTTTTTAAGATGGTCTTTATAATAGTTGTATATGTTAAATATTTCATAAAATAATAGTTTTAGTTAATACATATTATTAGTAAGGTTTTTTAAAAAAAAGACAACACATATTTATTATAAATAACTAATTTAACTAATTTTTTTAATCTATTTAAATTAAATGATTAATTTTTATATTAACAACTAGTTGCACTAGCACATTTTAGAAGCCAGCTATGGATATTTCTGTGATGCCATATTTTAGTTCTCTAACTTCTCATATCATTATCTGTTAATGGGAAAGCTTCATGCCAGGATTCCATCCGTGCTGGCAGATTGGCTTGCTCCACACCATGGGCAGAGCAGCAGCAAAAACGAGAAAATTCTGTGCTATGCCTTTAAATTGAAGGTGTGGTGGTGAGTGGGGATGGGTCCGTTGGTGGGGTAGCCCCATTGAAAATACTAGTAACGAGATAAGACGGATCGCAGCGCGCAGCATGATCCTCTGCTGGGGCTCAGGCCTGAAAGAAGATCAGGAACATCCTCTCCCAACTACCATTTAGCTCTCCGTAATTCCCCCGCCCACACGTAGACATAGATTAATTTAAATTTATACATTAAACCTTTAATATTCACGTAAACATTAGAACAGGGAGAATCTACATCTGACCAAGTATAAGGCGTCTGATAGAGTAGACTGATTCTGTGAAAGAAGCATGCTTACCATTTCATGCATACAACCAAATCTAAGAGCACTAATGGAATGAAATTAATTGATCGCTAGTGAATAGGACTAATTTGGACACAATTGGTGACGTGATCTTTCTTTTCTTTCTCTTTTTAAAGAATTCTCGGCACACAATCCCCATAAAAGAAACATATATATGGAGGCAGAGTTTGTCGCCACTACCTGCACGATTCATAAGCGATAATTAACATTCATCATTGAAGAATGGGACTTCTGCTTTCTCTCAGAGCAACTCTCCTTTTAAAAATGCTATTTCTCTCGTCCTGCTTTCTCCTCACATGGATTATCCATGCGTGCAGCTGCAGCTTGTCTCACCGGACTCTTCTCTTTTCTCAATAACATCAGAATCGAATATTTCCTTGACCCCATTTCCATTTTTAATAGTTCTACTGCTCTGCTTAATACGTTCTTATTATAACAAAACTTCCCGCTACATGCTTCTCCATACATAACAATAGCTAAGCTTTCTGTTTTTGTCTAATGGCTTCGAAGCTTCTTCTTCGCACTCCATTGTCTCCTCCGTCAACGTGCCGCGTAATTCATCGTTCGTCTACTCATCAAAATCTTGTCAGTTTCTCTCCCAAAATTTCCACCTCTCATGACCCATTGTCATCAGAGTCGATGAGGAGTAGTCAAAACCGAACCCCATTTCTGTCCCCTGTTCCTACCACGACCAATACTGATCCTTATAGAAAGTCACGTTCAGCTCCATTTTTGACGGCAAGGGTCACATCCAAATTAAGCTTCCCTCTTGTTTCTCCCAGTGACCACTGGGGTATGTGGACCTTTCTGTTTGCCTCCGGTGCTTTTGGTATATGGTACGTAATGAATGCTAACCTCTGCAAAAGTTGACTCTTCGACATATTCATCTTTTTGCTGCCTATTTCAGTTCTATTTCTATGACATTATTAAAAATTATTACATCAGAATTTAGTTTCTTAAGGTTATTTTGCACTTAAGGTATTATTGAAACTAATCATGGTAAGGACTGCAATATATTATTTGGAGGTGAAGGTCAGAAAACACGAAGATTGGGAGTGCCATTAGTGGGTGTGTGACCAGCATTTTGGTGGGGCTTGCAGCTAGCAGTTTTGGAATCGTTGGCAGCGATGCTCCGGCATACTCAACTGTAATGGAGTTCCTACTTCCCTTGATTGTTCCTCTCATGTTGTTCAGAGCCGATCTGTACCGTGTCATCAAATCAACTGGAACCCTTCTCTTGGCTTTCATGATTGGTTCAGGTATACTCTATTTGCCTCCATAAATTTGTAATTTCCTTACCATGGATGCCAAGGCGCTTTGTTCTGTTCAGTGAGCTATTTATATGTCACTTGACATTCTGAATTGTGATGTACTGAGAGGACTGTGAATGTAGAATCTCCATGCAGATTTCAGCGCATTGTTTCTTTGGCTAACCCTGTTATAAATCTTCAAAAATCTTTTTAATTTTGTAAAAAGGAAGTTGATATCTGTTCTTGTTATCTTTCCTGATATTCTGAGGGTGAATCACATTGTTCCACTTCCATCTCATGCTGACATTTCTAACTTGTCCCTCATATGACAGTTGCAACTATAGTTGGAACAGGAGTGGCATATTTTCTGGTGCCAATGAGGTCGCTGGGTGAAGATAGTTGGAAAATAGCAGCAGCTTTAATGGGCAGACACATTGGTGGAGGTAATTTATGTCAACCGTTGATGTTCTCCTGGATTAGTCTCAAGGTTTCACTATTTACTGAGCACATTAAAATAGCGATTAAAACTAGGACCGGTTTCTTATGGCATCTTTTCACCATGTCCTTTAAAAAAGAGCTAGTACATATATGGACAATTTTTTTTTTTGGTAACATGCACGTGGACAGATTTCCACATTACACTTGCAGCATCAAGTCATTGACTCTTTCAACAGCTTCTTACAAATGGGTATGGAGAAACATACACACACGCACACATATGGGATACTCTTTCTCGTTTCTGCTGAAAATTTCCTTTTTTCTTTGGCTCATTAAGATAGGAAAAATCTTGAGAGCATGTTATCTCTCGGAATTATATCATTGCTGCCTATCTGCTTCGATTTTCTGTTTCATAATTAACATATTTTCTGATTTTGGTGTCATATAGCTGTTAATTATGTTGCTGTTGCCAAAGCCCTTCTGTTTCATATTAACATATTTTCTGATTTTGATGTCATATAGCTGTTAATTATGTTGCTGTTGCCAAAGCCCTTGGCCTCTCTCCCTCCGTTCTAGCATCTGGGCTAGCTGCAGATAATGTTCTAAATGCTGTGTTTTTTGCCACTCTGTTTGCTTTAGCCTCTAGACTGCCTCCAGAAGATCAAAAATCAGAAGGTATGCCAAATTCTAGTCTACTCGAGACACATTTTTTTAACATGACTCACTTCTGGCTAGCATACTTTCACATTTATGTGTTCACAGTTTGGCTTATTCTGCAAGTATTTAACATGGTAATCTAGCTATGACAATTCTTTCGTTTTAAAATGCCTTGTTTGAATCAAGTAATTGAGTGGTAATTTACATCAAGGAACTTTTTGCAGGTGCTAAATTGGATGAAGGGTCAGAGAATAGCAAAAAATTTCCAGTGTTACAGATGGCAACATCTATTACTGTGTCATTTGCTATCTGCAAGATTTCCACTCTACTCACAAACTATTTGGGAATTCAAGGAGCTCAACTCCCAATTATTACATTAATCTCTGTCATGCTGGCAACAACATTTCCAAACCCATTTGCTTATCTTGCACCATCTGGTCAGGGAATGGCTCTAATTCTCATGCAGGTCAGTTATTCTTTGTGAAATGCTTTTCTCTGTGTTTTCCTTTTTTGCTACACTTCTTTTCTCTTGTGCTATCATATGGAAACCTTGAACCTTGACCATATTCCATGCTAACCTCTTAGGCCACCGGTTTGGCTCAGCCTTTGATTTTCCAAACCAATTCAAGCCCTTTAGATTTCAGTTTCATCAACTTCAAAATTCAATCCTTAAAAACGAGATTTGAATTTGATGTTGACGATGTTAAGTCTTTCATGGGAACAGGTATTCTTGACGGTGGTGGGTGCAAGCGGGAGCTTATGGAATGTGATCAACACAGCACCAAGCATTTTTGTGTTTGATTTGATTCACTTGGCTGTTCATCTGGGTGTGATACTTGGTGTGGGAAAGCTTCTGAGGTTTGATGACAAATTGCTGCTCCTTGCATCAAATGCTAATGTTGGAGGCCCTAACACAGCTTGTGGGATGGCCACAGCCAAAGGCTGGGCTTCCCTCATCGTCCCAGGAATCCTTGCTGGTGTTTTTGGAATCTCCATTGCAACTTTCTTAGGAATTGGATTTGCTGTCACTGTACTGCAGAACATTTACAAGCTTCGGATTTAAATTTTTTCATCCTGATTTAGGATATTGATCATAAGTAAAAATAACATTTCAGGGAGAATAATCTTGATTGTTTTTGATTCGCCTGTCCCAACTATTCTCTGTAGGAAAAAGATCTACTGACACATCCAACACAATACCCACTCTCCCTAACTACATGGGAATAGATTCCGCAACCTTCTCAATAAGAGGAATTGAGACTCTTTGATAAGAATAATCACAATTAAGAACCGTTTTCAATTAAACATTCGTATTTTCAATTTAACTTAGATTGTTTTCAAAATTAGGTCTAGATTTATAATAATAGTTATTAAACTGATCATCAACTGTTTTATTTCACATTTGACATTTATTTTTAAGATATCATGAAAAGGAGAACAAAATTCATCATTTAAGTATCATGTGAGGCCAATTGAACGATCTACTGCAACCAAAAACTTTTCACCAAAAAAAAAAAAGCAACCAAAAACTAAATAAAAACGATATAACAATAAAATTGATCGAACTTCTCTTTTAATTGAACGAATTTGCTGGATTGATTTGATTTTTCTCCAAACCAAACCAAAGGTATATTTATCCATTTCTTCTTAAACCAAATCAAAGAGTGATTTCAATGCATATAATTAACAAAAAATATTTTGAGAAAGACAATATTCATTTATTACAACTAATTAATTTAACTAACTTTCTCAATTTTTATAAATTAATTATCTAATTCTTATATTAAGAATTAGATATAGTATTAATGTCCATACTACTTACTTGTTATTAGAATTTTTTTATTATTATACTCCTCCGGTCCTTATTATAAGATCCAATTTGACTTTTTATTTGGTCCTAATTATAAGACCCAATTCATTTTCTCTCTTATATTTATGCATTTTTTCCAAGATAATCCTTCTAATAATGATAGTTTTAGCCAATATATTTAATTAGCAAGGATATTTTAGGAATAACAACACTTATTTATTATAAATAACCAATTTAACTTACTTCCTTAATCTCCTCAAATAAGTCAATTGGGTCTTATAATTAGGACCGGAGGAGTATTTTTTTTGGGGTGAAATTTCACATCGATTTTGCGTACGGTTTTTTTTTTTGGTTGAAAAAACATGAGACTTGAGTGTGACAGAAAAACAGTGGTCATGTGCAAACCATGGGCCTCTTTGCCAGTTTGCCCCATGGATGCTATCGATGGGTTTTTTTTTTTTAAAAAAAAGCAGTTAACATTGTAGCTGTATCTTTTTTTACGAAGATCTTATCGGTATTTTTTTGGGGCCAAAAACCTTATCGATAGCTGGAAGCAGGGAGAATCACTGCGGTACCAGATAACAGTGATTTCTATCTGAAATTTCCGTTGCCAATGACGGCCTTGGCCACGCCGTCGCCCATCGGTGTCACCGTCCTCTGTCGCTCATCGTCAAACGCGTCGCGGCACCGTCAGTCTTACTGTTCCCGCTACGGCAGCCTCAACCCATTCCCGCCACGTGAGGTTGAAACCTTGTCTGAAAGAACCACAAGACCATTTCCGAAGAGGCTGACTTTGACGCCAACTTCAGCTCGACTTTTCACAGTTAGGTCGCAGCTGAAATATCCCATCGTATCTCCTGATGATCATTGGGGCACATGGTCCGCTCTCTTCACCATTGGTGCTTTTAGTCTCTGGTAATAACATGGTGCTCTGTTTGTATCATTTACAGCTAGGCACCTTTAACATGGTGCTTTTCATCTCTGCCTTCTTATTCTTTTTTGGTTGCTCTGGAAACGTGGGAAAATTTAAATGTGAATTTTACTTTTGAAATAGAAGGTTGACTTAGCTGTTCTGACGATAGTCAATTTGTTGTGTAATTTGCGAAAACATTACAGTGGTACATTAGAGTTAAGCACGTGTTATGTTATGATATAACAGATGCTAGTTGTATGACAGCCGTCAGCTTAGTTATACAAATTCTAAACCTCTGTTAATCTGGGAATCAATTCTATTTGTTATTGCTATTCGAAGTGAAGCTGTCATTGCTGACAAATTCTCTGAATTTATCCACTTTCAAATTAGACTTCTTTTTCCTCTTAATTACTTAATAGTAGAATGTAAATGAACATATCTGGGTGATTTAGTTGTAAAATGAATATATTTTACGTGAAATGCAAGGTCGGAGAAGACGCGGGTTGGAAGCATGGTAAGTGCTGCCCTGGTGAGCACCTTTGTTGGCCTTGCAGCAAGTAATCTAGGAATACTTCCTTATGATGCGCCGGCTTACGCAATTGTCTTGGAGTTTCTGCTTCCCTTAGTTATTCCCTTGCTATTGTTTAGAGCAAACTTGCGCCACATGGTGCACTCCACAGGAACCCTACTGTTAACTTTCTTACTTGGTTCAGGTGATTTAAGTTACTTGGGCTTGGGAGAGTCCTGTATGCCCAAACATGAAAAGGTTGCACTTAAACTTACGCACTAATCAAATGATTAAACGTAGCATTATAATTGCACTGCTACAGTAATATTATTCAGGCTAACACCTAACAGAGGCAAATACAAGACTACAATGAGACCTAGACATTGAAACATTGTTTAATTATAACAGTATGATGGGAATTTAATTTTTTTAATTTTATTTTAATCATGTGAATGGCAGTTGCCACTATTGTTGGAACTCTAGTAGCGTTCTTAATAGTGCCAATGCGGTCTCTCGGTCCTGACAACTGGAAAGTAGCAGCAGCTCTCATGGGCAGCTATATTGGTGGATGTAAGTTCCTCAAAAAGTTGAGACGAAGTTAATTTTAGTCTGTCTGTGCCCGAAGTACGGGTACAAATAATCTGTTACATTAATTGCAGGTTTTATGTTAACTCCATCTTTCTCTGGTGTTAATGTTGTATTATAATTGGTGCGGTACTTTATCTTATGTATTCTGTATCTTTTTAGGACGTTCATATTTATCATATATACGTAATATTTCATAAGGGATGCCCGATGAATGATCGATCATGAATGTATAACAGAGTTGGCGTGCAGCAACGAGAATGAAGAATTTAGCATGACTTCACGGATGCTTATGTTGAATTATGTTTGCATCATGAATTTAGTACATAAAACTCTGTAGATGCTGAGTTTAGAACTTTAGTCTTAGCCATTTTTCCCTAAAACAATTTTTTTTTTAATTCATTCCTTTTTACAACGACGATAAAATAACTGAATGAGTTTCCTTTGTCCCTTTCCTGGCTGCTCGGGTTGATTGCTGTAGCTGTTAATTATGTTGCCATTTCAGAGGCGCTCGGTCTGTCTGCTTCAGTTTTAGCAGCAGGAGTAGCTGCAGACAATGTTATTTGTGTTACACATATCATGGTATTGTTTGCATTGGCTTCTAACATACCTCCTGAAGCTTCAGCCTCAACTACTGGTATGATTTTCTGGTTCTTACATGCTGTTAGGCTGCAAGATAAGCGTCTATTTATCTTTTCCAATAGTTGCTTAATATCTTATGAAGTGTAGCACACTACAAAAGACCGGAGGGAGTATCTTGAATCTAGATCCAGCTATTCTTCTCTTATGTTGGCTAAAATTAAAACTGTTAATTTAATATAATGGTCAAATGGAAAAGTTGGCTTGACGACAGAGCTAATATTGGCAGATGATGCGATGTACATAGAGTCCAGCGATGGGAGCAAGATACCCGTGTTGCAGTTTGCCACTGCACTTGCCACATCGTTTTTAGTATGCAAAGCTGCCAAAAACCTAACAAAAATATCTGGAATTCAAGGAGCAACTCTTCCAGGAGTCACAGCAATCATAGTCATTTTAGCCACTGTCCTCCCAAGGCAAATGGGTTCCCTTGGACCTGCTGGTCATACTATTGCACTGCTCTTGATTCAGGTAGCAAAATCCTTGAAACCTTATGAAGACCTTATTTTCTTTAATTTGGTGATGTGACCTTACTTAATCAACATGAGAAAATGTTGCTCAGGTATTTTTTGCAGTGACTGGGGCTAGTGGGAATGTGTGGACTGTCATCAAGACAGCCCCAAGTATCTTCATGTTTGCTCTAATCCAAGTGACCATCCATCTTGTTATAGTTCTTGGGTTCGGAAAGTTGTTTGGGTTTGATTTGAAACTGTTGTTATTAGCATCCAATGCCAATATAGGAGGTCCTACGACTGCCTGCGGAATGGCCAAAGCAAAAGGTTGGGAATCTCTGGTTGTTCCTGGCGTTCTTGCAGGCATTCTTGGCATTTCCATTGCCACTTTCCTTGGCATTGGATTTGGAGTTATGGTTCTCAAACACCTTTAATTTAAGGCTCAATAGCAAGTACATTTGAAGTCATGATTCTTTTTTCTTTTCTTTTCTTTCCTTTTTTTTTTTTCAGTGAAGATTTTTTCATATAGCTGATGGTGTCTAGTTTCATTTTGTCCTTCCATGCATTGCATGGAGATATTCAAAATATACTAAAAATAACACTTACAACCAAATGTTGTTATATTAATATGATGTCGCTCAATGATCAAAATTGAATAATAAAAAATCCAAATACCATAGTGATGTAGAAATATAGATCGAAGGAAAATCTAGGCTATAAGGAGTTTAATAAATTGCTGAAGAAAGATTAAAAGAATAAAAAATTGTACGAAATGTGGTAGAAGTATACTATTTATGGTTTACGAATAATACTATTTTATATAAATTTTAGATTTTATTCTGATGTTGATATTGATTATTGATAATATTCACAAGACACGAGCAGTAACTAGAAAACACACTGCACGCGACGATCTTTCTTGTGGGATTTTGATTTAGTATGAAGCAGTAAAAATTTATATGTGTCATCCATTTACAGTTAAAATATATGCACCATATTACCTGAACAAAAACAAACTATTTTGCTATAGATTCATAGCATGGTGCCTGCGTGCAACGACAACTTTTGCCTTCCGGCCTTAATCCGACCCCCTTGTCCCATCGAAACAAGACTTTGCACAATCTGGGCTGAGGGACGTCTTCCTTTTGCTACCTAGTTTTTTTAATTAACATTGCTTAAATGAGAATTGTGTTTAGAAGAAGGAGTTAGTCTTCATAACATAGTAAACTAATGTTCAAATTCTCACTGAGAGAGGCGTCTACATTTAGTGTCCGATCGTGTCTCGAAAAAGATTGCCTCCAATGAAAAGATCTCTGTGCATGTTAAGCCTACCACCTTGAGGAGATTGTTAAGATGTTAGAGATGCGAGCGGATATGACTTGGTGTGGATACAAGTTTCATATTGGGTAGCACACACACACACTCGCTCTCTCCAATAGGATTCCTTCTCCCTTTTTAGGAGAAATTGTTGGGTTGAAGAATAGGCGTGTAGGTACAACCCTCTCTATTATATTAAAATGAGCATCAGCATAATTTTTCAAAAATCAAATGATTTAATACAAATACTTTTTAATATTTTTATATTTTGAAATAAAAATATATAATTTTTAAAGTAAAAAATAATAACCAAAAATAGATAATAACTTATTTTAACAATTTTTTTAACTTGTGTAAAACAGTTAATTATTTATTATAATAAAAAACGCGAATGCCAACTAAGGAAACAAAAGCATGTTATGGAACCCCCACCCCCCACGATAAAAGGCAAAGATCACATTAGAGGCTAAGATGCGCCACGCCGGGAAAAAAAAAAAAAAGAGCTAAGATGCGTGACGTACGTTGAGAGATGCTGCGTTGGAATCCAGGATTCCCCCCCCCCTTTTTTTTTTTTACCTTTTTGGTTTGCTCCCATCAATTTCCATTATAACCTTATCTTAATTAATTAGGATCACAATTAGATGGTTAATCATTCTAAGATCCCATGGATAAAGGTCTTAGCTAGTGTATGGATTAAGTGTAAAGGGTGGTTAAGTCCTCCTCTTTAGTTAACATAGGTCCTTTAATTGCTTCACGAGTGCAAAAAAATGTGGGATTTGTTGTTACTTTATCCTATAATAGAGTCCATTGTGTCGTCGTTTCTGAATCAATTAATAAAACTTCATTATTATTTTGTTTTTTGTTCTTCTCTTCAACAGTCATGCTTCTTAAGGTTCATGTGTTGGAACTTCCTTAAGATGGACAACATTAATCAGTGATTTTCTACACTAGTGGTTGTCAATTTGCCAACGGGTAGAGAGTTATAAAGCAGACTTTTCTTGTTATATGATAATTATTTCATAAAAGGTCGTCCACAGAATTTCACACAAGTTCACAGAATCCGGGCTTTTACAAAACGATGTAACCAATACGAAGCACATAAGCTCGACGCAGAAAAAATAGTACAGACAGCCTAACAACGCGAAATAGTAAATACACCCAAACCAAAGTTCACAGAGAGATCAACAGGTGATGAAACTAAATAACAAAAATTAAAGTCATGAGATAACTCATCATCAGCAACGTGCTAAATCATTCAGAAAAGCCCTTACATTCTGATGGGAAGACCCTCCTTCCTTCACGGCCTCTCTGGCCAGATCCATCCATTTTTCTGCCTCGTTTCTCATTTCCACTGCTTTCTCTCCCTCCCCCAACACCACATCCAAACACCTCCTAATTTCCTCACTCTCTGCTACTCCTTCCTCGTTCACCTTCACCCTCGTGCCTGTCCTCCACACGTCTTCTATCAGCTTCGCATTCGTCACCTGGTCCGTCCACTGAGGAAACGCCACGATGGGAACCCCTGAAACCAAGCTTTCTAAGCTCGAACTCCAACCACAGTGCGTCACGAAACATCCCACCGCCCTATGTGACAGAACCTCCACTTGGCTACACCAGTTGACTATCATACCCTTCTCTTCCAGTTCCTTCCTCCACTTGTCTTCTTCATCCCCATTCTTCTCTTTTTCCTGCTTCTTCTTCTCTTCTACTTTCCCAACATGTTCCCCTCCTCCTTCTTTTGTCCGGTTCTCTTCCATTGTCGTTTCGTTATCTTTCATGACCCACAAGAATGGCCTTTCAGAATCCGACAGGGCACGTGCGATTTCCTTCACCTGCTTCCTAGATAACAACGAGAGGCGTCCGAATGCAACATACAGCACCGAACGCTCTGCCTGCGAGTCCAGCCATTCCATGTAACCACCTGAGGAACACCTAAAGATGTCAACCCCAAACGATTTGTCACTCGGATCCTTCCCGTCTGAAAACGCAGAAGGAATCAACGGCCCGATGGGGATCATGTTCAGCTTATCCACGGCTCTGATTGCCTCCGATTCCAACGCTTCGAAAGTGTTCACCAGAACTCTTGGCTTCGCGTCCTTCTCCAGTTCAGTGAAGTGCTCGTCCATGAACGGAATGGCAAAAGAGTAAACATTAGAAGGTTGTAGGAATGTGGGAAGCTCCTTCGTCTTCAGCAATGGCAATCCCGGTAGTTTTATCTCTGATTCGGGGTCTTCGCTTTGGGTGTCAATGTAGTCTCGGTAACCCCTCAGGTAGTAATAGAATATGTCCAGCACGGCGGCCGGTTGAATCCAAAGCAGCGCTGACGGCACGTTAAGTGAACGCGCTGCCTCTGCAGCCCAAGGAACAAAGACAGTGTATATTAAGCACGTGAAAGTAGTTCCACCTCCATTGGATTTGGAGGCCATGATGAGATTGGCAACAGCTTGTTGTCCGCGACGTTTCATTTCAGATATGAAGACGGAGACTATGGCGTCGTCAGGGGTGTTGGCGAAACCGTCATCGTAGCCGTCGGAGAAGGTAGCGAAAGCGAGGCCGTCAATGATGGGTTTGTGGATGATACGACGGTGCATGGAGACGGTGGTGAGAAGAGTCACGCGAGCACCGACGCCAATGAGTCGCTTGGCGAACTGGAGAGTAGGGTTCAGGTGGCTTTGCGCCGGGAACCCAACGATCAGGAAGTGTTGCAGCGGTTGCGCCATGGTTTCAGTAGTCGCGGCGCGTGGGGAAGACTTCAAACTGGGAATGATTAATTTGGAGATCCGACGTGATGATCTGAACACAATTGAGCACTAGATATAGATATATATAGAAAACAAGAATAATCTGGTCCAAACAAAATATATATATTATAATTATAATCATGGATGAATGAATATAAGAGTCAATTAACAAGGCAAGGGCAGTATTGTATTTTCAAAAATGTAACAGGCCCTTCACCATAATGATGGGTTATATCATGGCAGATTCTTAATATAAGAAGAGTTAATTGGCTTATTATAAAAAAAAAGAGTTAATTGATTAATTTGACTAGATTAATAAAGTTTGTTGAGATAATTATTTGTAATAATTAGATGTTGTGTTTCCTAAAATACTTTACCATTTATGTATTAGCTAAAACTACCATTTGATTGAATATTCAACATGTGCAGCTACTACAATGATTACTCTGGGAAAAAAAAGATAAATATGAGAGACAAAGTGGATTTAGATCTTATATTTAAGGTCAAATTAAAAGTCAAACCAATTCTTATATTAACTACTATCTCTGGTCCTAATTACAAGAGCCAATTGACTAATTTAAGGAGATTAAGGAAGTAAGTTAAGTTAGTTATTTGTTCTAAATATGTGTTGTCTTTTCTAAAATATCCTTGCTAATCAAGTGTATTGACTAGAACTCTTATTATTAGAAGGGCTACTTTAAAAAAAATGTATAAATATGAGAGACAAAGTAGATTGGGATCTTATATTTATGATCAAAATAAAAATCAAATAAAGTTTTATATTAAGAAGTGAAGATAGTATTAAGGGTAGTTTTTTATTTTGGTCACAGGCCCTTCACCAATCGGTTGTATTGATATGTTTCACGTGTTGTTATTAGAACGACTTACGGGGCTCAGACGACGCACTACGTTGGAGCCCGATGCTTCTTTTCCCCTCAAAACTTGTTAGATTTTTTGTGAAACTAACGTGAGACCAGATCTGTCTCTCAAAAATTCTTACTCCCAATATATGGAAGGCCATTTAATTTTCCTAGCTGAGAGAGGAATAGTTGATGACTAAGTTGCAGTAACATCGGGCGATCCATATATTAGGCCACATTTAGTGAGATCAGACTTATTGTTGTTGTTGATAAAAAAATAATTGCATGCAGTCTGGTTATGTGGTAATCAAATACTGGTAGTGTGTGAGATATTTATACACTTCTTTATTCCTTGATATAAAATCTAATTAACTAATTTGAATAAATTAAAGATGTTCGTTAAATTATTTAACATAACATATTTTTTTCTAGAACACCATAAGCATCTTTCTCAATTCCTTTTCTTCTTTGCCTACTTGATTATTGTTAAAAAAATATAAATCAGGTTTATTTTTAAAAAATTATTAAATATGTAAAATAAATTTTACATATAAGATCAATATTAACTCTCTAATTAATAAATCCTACATTAAGTACTGGGCTAAAACTG